ACAAAGAGGATTTCCCCCAGGATGAGGAAGACACAACCTTTGCCGTCAGCCCCCTCTTCATTCTGGTGAAACTCCTCTGCAGGTGGGGGGGGAGGGAGATTTCCTGCACTTCAGCAGCGGCGTCTCCTCACAGGGCTTTTTCCGATGCCCCACGTGTATTGATTTCCATGCCTTCCTTTCCTGTTCCGTGGACAGAATTGCCTGCTGTGATTGTCACCGTTAGGTAAGGAGGGTGTGAGGCATGTGGGTTGTGTTGTTTGACCTCCGGCTTCTTTTGCAGCCACAATTGGCTGCAAAAACAATCAGCGCTTGCTGGAGGCAGAGGCCTGAGTGGCACCCGCAAATCAGCTGTTTCGTGAATGGAGCAGCTCAGCTGATCCGATTAAGGGATCCGATTGAGTTGATCAGGGAAGGGAAGGGCTGCCTCCTGTTCTGGCCATACCCACCCCTTCACTAGGGCTTATTTTCGGGGGAGGGCTTATATTTTGCCCGCCCTGAAATTCTGGCATGGCTTTAGGACGTCATATTTTCGGGGAAACACAGTAATAATTATGTCCTTTTCTCTCAGGGTTACATTTCACTCTCCTGCTCTCTGGAGATTCCTTTTCAATATTTGTAAAAGTCCACATGTGGTGTGGATTAAATTAGAATTATGGATGACGTTCTTAACCTTATTAAAAGCAATTTCTTTTGTCAAATGGATCATTTGAGAATGTATAGGCCCATTTTACCTCTGCAGGCCTGCTGTGTTAATGTCTATCTCATTCCCCAGGTGAGTTGAATTTGTGATTGTGAAGTATTTATCTAGAATATTTATTCTTTAAGACAGTCTGCAACCTTTGGCGTGATTTCAAAAACCTTCTGTAAACAATCAGTTCAGACTTCTCATCAGAATAAACTTCCCTTTTCCTGACAAAATCTGTTGGTAGAGCAAGTAGGAACAAACCAATCCATGGCTGGTAGAGTCTGTCTTACTGCTTCCACACAGAACCCAGCAGTTTACCCATAAAGGAATACCATCTTTATTAGGGAAAAAATTGTTTGGCTTAAATAATATTACCATATTTTTCGGACTATAAGACGCACCGGACTATGAGACACACCAAGATTTTGAAGAGGTAACTTTAAAAAAAAAATGTTTTTGCACTCTGCAGGCCTCCCAAACCCTCTGCACGCCCTGTTTTTTGCAAAAAACAGGGCATGGATAGGCTTTGGGAGGCTTGTAGAGTGCTCCTGGGGGCTGGGAGGTGGCAAAAACGAGCAAAAAACGGCCCGTTTTTTGCTCTTTTTTGTCCTCCCCAGCCCCCAGGAGCACTTTGCAGGCCTCCCCAACCCTCTGCGTGTCCATTTTTGTGTTTGGGTTTCGGGAGGCCAAAAATGCTGTATTCAGTGTATAAGACGCACCCAGATTTTCACCCCCTTTTTTGAGGGGGAATAGGTGCAGCTTATACTCCGAAAAATAAAGCAAAGTATATTTGCTTTAATGATTGTGATTCCTCTACTTTCTGTGTTTGTTCAAGATCTAATGGGTGTTCATAATTGCTTTGCACATGCGTTAATTGTAAGAATCATGGTTGAAAAATGCTTCTATTAAATATGAATTACATGCTTTAAGATTTTTGCTTTGGATGAGCAAAAAGATTGTGTGGTCAGATATGGGTTGATTATCTTTGCATGAGGAAGCCATGTAAGACAATTTTTCCCCCCCCCAACTATGTGAAAGCTTAAAAATAACCACAACCAAGATTTGCATTAACAACAGTGGTACAACTGCAAAATGCTGAGAACAGTTGTTTCAAACTCTTGCTCTCATGTAGAACATAAGATTATGTGTTATGCATTTTTGTACCCCAAAGCTCAGCTTCCATACCAAGTTTATCATTTATATTTTTTTCAGTCCTATGTACAAATGGGACATGGTGGCTCAGTGGCTAAGATACTGAGCTTGTCGATCAGAAAGGTCGGCAGTTCGAATCCCTAGTGCCGCGTAGCGGAATGAGCTCCCGTTATTTGTCCCAGCTTCTGCCAACCTAGCAGTTCGAAAGTATGTTAAAAAATGCAAGTAGAAAAATAGGAACCACCTTTGGTGGGAAGGTAACAGTGCTCCGTGCATCTTCAGCATTTAGTCATGCTGGCCACATGACCACGGAGATGTCTTCTGACAATGCTGGCTCTTCGGCTTTGAATCAGTGCCCTAGTGAGCACTGCCCCCTAGAGGCAAGAATGACTAACACATATGTGCGAGGCGAACCTTTACCTTTACCTATATTTGGGAGTAAGCTCCATTGAACTTCGTTACATTGGACTGTGAATCAATGCCTATGAAGACCGAGATCAATTAATTTGTTTTCTTACCTTAGAAGCTGATACAGAGGAACTTGAAAGAGAATTGGACAGTCTTCTGTTGGACTCCCCAAAAAGACAGCCGTACCTGCCTTCTGTTCCACCAAAGCCACTGTCTCCAGCTTCCGTAGGACTTCCCAGCTTCACAGATGCTGAGCTTGAAGCTGAGCTGGAGAAGCTCACTTATTCAGATGGTGGTAAGCTTGATCTTGTACAGCTTTCCTGTGTCTAATGGAGGCCAGAATTTCCATCCCTAAGCGAGACGGTTGTTACGTGATTTATGCCCAATTTTACGAGCCTTTTTTATTGTTAAGCAAGTGATGATACTAAGCTGGCAGGAATAGCCAACACCCTAGATGATAGGTTCAAGATCCAGATGGATCTTTACAGACTTGAACCCTGGGCCCTATCTAACAAAATGAAATTCAATGAACAGAAAAGTAAAGTCTTACACTTAGGCAAGGAAAACCAAAAGTACACACATAGACTGGGTGAAACCAGGCTTAATAGCAGTAACTGTGAAAGCCCTAGTAAGGCCACACTTGGAATACTGCATCCAATTTTGGTCACCACATTATAAAAAAAATGTTGAGACTCTGGAAAGAGTGCAGAGAAGAGCAACCAGGATGATTAGGGGACTGGAGGCTAAAACATACGATGAACAGTTGCAGGAACTGGGCATGGCTAGTCTGGGGAAGAGAAGGATATGCAAGCACTGGCCAGCTGAGTTCAACCTTTTTTAAAGCCATTTTTTTGCCCTCCCCAGGCTCCAGAGGCTTTATAGGAGCCTGGGGAAAACAGCCTCCCCCGCTCCCACAGAGGCCCTCCGGAGGCTTCAGGAGCTTCCCTGAAGTCTTCAGAGCACAGTCTCCTA